CCGAGGTTCGATTCATCGTCGATTGGGTCTGCTCCACCACTGGGATCATCTGGCTCCGCCAGAGTCGATTGTTGGTTGGGGTCATTCGTTCCAGCAATGATAGGTTCAGATTGTTGATCTCTAGTCTGTTGAGTAGCGTCGGGATCTCCGACTGGCTGCAAAGGTTGTTCTCCCCCCGGTTCCCCTCCATTCGTGACAGTAGTGTCGGACGATTCAATCGCTGGTTCTGCAGATGCGAAGTAGATGGCATGTCCCTCACTCATAGGAGATATTTTGAGGTACGATGATACGCAGTATTGTATTGACGAAAAATGAGGAGAGTAGCTCAACTATCAAGGGAAGTGAGCTCTTGTAACGATAGCCCTAAGAAAGAAAAATAGATTCGTACCTAGCTGAGGGAGTGAGGTGTTGAAACGAGAGCCCTGTAGAAAGGGGGGTTTCATCTCACTCCTCAGCTGGTAGCGCAAATCTAAATTAAGCTAAGATCCGAGCGTGGATCGTGAAGCGTGTATCCAAGCGTGGATCCTAGAATAAATGCCTGCGGGCAAGTGAGCTGCGGCTCTGAGTCGAGTGTCAGCGGACACGGGAAATTGGTATGCACATGTAACTCAAGCTTTGGCCAGCTCTATTGGACTTGAGTAAACATTGTTTAAACTCGATAAATCTTACAAATTAAAAAAAATAAAACATGAGTGTGGAAAAAACATACTCTATTAGGAAGGTAGGTGGCGGGGGGGTGTCAAGCTGAACTCTGAAAAAAAAAAAAACAAGTGTTGGTCTCGGATAAAACTATTCAGAAACCCCCTTTCTGCAAAAAATAGTACCGCTTATATAGAAACCCCCTTTCTGATAGGACAAACAATGTCGGCATAAAATGCCGGAAATTGATCATGTGATATGTTCTGTTGATCAAAGGAACGCGATGCGACTTTGAGACTCGACATGCAACTCTTGTGCGTCTTACGGGGTGTGGCAGCACAGCAGCGACCATTTGTGGAGCAGTTGCTGTTGCATATCCCTTAACACTGTCGACTACGGCGTCTACCTGGCTGTGAAGACATGCGCTATTTAACAATTATGGTGATGTCAACGGGCCAACATAGAGGTGTGTACAGTATATCATAACTCCTAATCACTATCTAAATATTCTTCAAGCTCAGGCAGGACCTTTTCATATGGTCTTATCACAAATGCTGCATTTTCGCGTTTGCACTGCCTTCGGTTGTGCCCTTGCCCCTCCTCCTTGTGGACGTCCTTTGGTAGCATCTGTTATTCTCCGTTCACGTGGCCTGCCCTTTGGATTGCTGTATTTTATGTCGGTAAGCGCATTCAATCTCATAGAAATACTACAAATACTGGGAGAGGTGGTTATAAATGCTTGAAAGTCACTTGAATAATGCCTCACCATGGGAGTTACTGATACCGCAGAACTAAGATGAGTGAGCGCGATGTCGCCGAGGCGAGGTTTGGGCCAAGAGCCACGCACGGTCACATGTCCTTGTTTGGACAAGGCACGCAAATTCACATTATGATGGCAACATGATGGGCAAACAAAAAATCATGGGGTTTCTCGCTTAACACACAGAAACCCCTGATTTCTCGCAGAAAGGGGGTTTCTGAATAGTTTTATCCGTTGGTCTCTTTTCCACATTCCGCCACCCCCTTGCTTAGTTCTGTATAGTTTCCGGACAGTCATATTTATGTAGCTACTTCATCGTCTTATTCTGTCCACAAGTCTCGTTTCCTTCTTGCCCTCCACTTGTCAACAGGTTATCGGCCCCGCACCTCAGCATAGACAAATTTTAAATTGCATTGGACATTTGTTTTGCCGTCAGCCGAGCCTGAGGTTTCTGCTTCCCCTTATCGAATGACAGCCGTCCGAAAATCCCTCCCAACACTCCGAAAATCCTACCACCGTACACACCCAACAGTCTCCCGATTCCGAGTCCGCACACGCACCGTCTTCGTCCCCTATGTTTTCCTTCCAGAAACGGAAGGAACCCTCACAGAACTCAACGATTCAGAACAGAACGCGAGCGAAGAGAAGCAGGGAGTGCCGAACGAACCGTGATCCTTTGTGTGGAACGAGAACTCTGGCGAGTCGAATATTGGCGCTGGGTTTGTGGTTGAGAAGGTAGATGTGAAGATTGGTGGGGAAGTTGCGAAGGCAACACTTATCGGCTGGTTCAGTTCAGATGCGGCGAAGAAACCGTTCCCTTTGAGGATCGAACCTCTGGCACCGTGCAATCTCGTTCTTGCGTTCTCTGGAGGAGGTGGACGCGTTTTCGTTCGCAAGAGCAGCTGGCGTGGGTGGGCCTCCTCAATCTGACCTCCAACGCACAGTATATTTGGAAAACCCTACATCATCCCACCCCGCCCATCCACGGAGACATCCCTCTGACTATACACTACCAATACATTTTCCTCACGATGGAACTGCGTCCTCGACCTCACAGCACACCAAGCCCAAGCCCTGGACGCCATTCATGTCTCAGACTCTGCAGGAGGGCACCCCAGCATCCTTCCTGGGCCTGAACTTGCATCCCCCTTTTCCGTATTCGCAACCAGCTCTGCTTCCTCCCGCACGCGTTACACCGGTTATCATACACAGCTGGATCGACACCTCAGACCTCTAGCAGGCGAATCCATCTGAACTCCCGATGGCTACTTCGCAGGAAGGTCACACAAAGTCCTAACATCCAATTCATCAGCAATGTTCCTCCACCCAGGATTTGCCATAATTCCTCTGAACTCTGGAAGACACTCTCTACGTCCTGCGTACCCATATCCAATGGCGGCCACAAATCCGCAACGACTTTCAGCGCCCCTCCACCGCCTCCACCACCACACACCTGGGATCCCACCTTCATCCGCAGGAATGGAATAAGGAGAACATCTAGAACCCCCATTCGACGCCCAAACGACACCTCAGGCCTCAGACCTCAACATAACCCGCATTCCCGCCTAAATCCACCATACCACGCTACCCCATGTCCCTTGGCCCCATCACCTCACAGACACAAGCAAACGTCGGCCCAAGCGTCGAAATCCGCAGGGAGAGGGGTACAGCGGGCGAGATACCGCGTATGCCTGGCCGATACGTCCCCAGTTTCTGACGGTTTGCTCCCGTTGGAAGTTGGAGGGAGTGGGGAAGATGAACACGAAAAGTTGTTGGCTCTACGTTGGGGCCGGGGAAGATATCTCCTTCACGTTGGATATTTTCGTGTGTAACCAGAATGNCCGAGGAGGTTGGAGGTGATGGGTCCTGGGGAGAGAAGACGGGGGAAGGGAGGAGAGGAGGAGGAGGAAAGATGGGTGGTGAATTGGTATCCTGGGGTTTTGGCTATGAATAGTCGGGTGCGGATTGGGTAAGTGGTTTTGGGAGGGCGTTTAGAGATGCTGATCTCAAGGGATGTTGCAGCCACTTCGGCCGTCGTGCCAGAGTGTGAGGATCGACTTCTGGGCTGTGTACACTCGATTGATACGCTGACGGACGTGGAGACTGATTGGCATTGAAGCTGAGGTGAGTCTTCGGGATTGAAGTTACATATCACGCTACTGATGGTCGATTTCTAGATTCAACAAATTCATTACTTATCAGGTTGCGAGCTACGTGACAACGCAAATCGTCTCAGGTTCCTGTTATCCCTTTCCACTTTGAAGAAACGGCTTTGCGGACTATGGAATTCTTCGTTCCTCGTAGGATGAAGGTGGTGCATCATCATCAGCCTGAACAGTCATAGTGTCGAACTTCTGATTGGATGACGCGAGCTACACCAAGAACTCTTGAAAATCAAGCTTTGAACTAATCTTCTCATCGAAGTCATTGTGCAACCACACGAAGAATGGATTCAGTCTGCCATTCCCAGTCTGGATGGTCGACTTCTCTTAACATGCTCAGACGACCCCGTACGTGTTTCATTTCCAGATAAACACTCTTCATTGCTTACCTTCTTTTACTTTCTTTTAGACGGCACGAATCAAAGATTTAGAGTCACCCGCACTCAAGGCGGAGATGCGAGGTCACGACAACCGTATCGAATCATGAATGATCCGTATTCGTACTTCCAGCAAACTTCCAGTGTCCTAGTTCTGCGGGACGAGCAGGACCAATCGAATGAATGAAGGATAGAGCTTCCTCTTTGCGTGGATGCGAAGGCGTGGCTAGACATCAACATATTTGTCAACTGCAAGAATTACCATGATTCTGTGAGGATGAGGTGCAAGTTCTGATAAATACTTGGTTTTCGACAACTTTTGACGTAGTAGTACACGTTTACATACAATAGGCAGGTATCAGACGTATCGTACAAGACAGACGTATGGTACAAGATAAATGGTATCACTGGCGGCGTGCAATTGGCGACATCGCAAGAAAGCATTTAAAAAAAAAGTTCACTACGACAGCAGCTGCTGAAGCCAATAATTGAACTCAGCATGATCCTCATCCGTCATCGCATCGTCCTCATAACCGAAATTCATCGGTTTAACGCTAGGCCACAAAGCACCGCCCAGATCAAAGCTTGACGACGACGACGAAGAATCGGCTTGATTTGCTAAGAACCAAGGCATTTCTGTGAATGAGTAGATCGGGTCTCGTTGTTGGTGGATGTATCCCCGTCTATCTCCCATGTTGTCCATGCTCACAGGAGGAGGAGGAGGGCCTTCTACAACGATCGGAGCTGGGGTTGCGTCGTCGTCGATATATCCTTGCTCCAGTATCTCCAAGCTGAAGAGCGATGGCTGCTGGATTTCGGTAGCGCCATGCATTCAGATGTTCGAATGGAGTAGCGGAGAAGGAGGACGTGGAAGTCGAAGCTTGGACGGGGGAAGGAGGAATTCAATGGGGACGTGACACAGAAGTCACGTCCCACGTACAGGGACCAACACTGTCACACGTCCTAAGGGAAATCATAAGAGAATGTAACACTGGACACATGTCAAGATAATTTGTCTTGGAATACTCTAAAAATATCTTTTGGAAGTTCCTTATTTTTTCCCAGTTTTCCACCAAGAAATACATAATACATCTATAAAGATTCTTTTCAATGAATGAATGTCAAATATTGATAAAATATGTTGGAAAACATGTAGAACATATTGAGATACATATATAGACAATTCAAATTAACCCAATATCTTTCAAGTAAGTTTCTATATGTTTTTAACATGTTTTATAAGTATTTAATCTTCATTTATTGAAAACAATCTTTGTAGATGTATTACATGTTTCTTACTAGAAAACAGAAAAAAAATAAGGAACTTTCAAAAGATATTTTTAGAGTATTTCAGTGCAGATTATTTTGTCATGTGTCCAGTGTAAGAGGATGATTTATGAACGATGGAAGATTGACTCACCTGCAAGAATGTGGTCCAGTGCGCCCAATTTTTGGTCAAGCCTCTCAGTCTCGTCGATGAGACCGAGTTTGACCCAGTCCGAGCAATTGACACCTAGACGCACTATGATGGAAAGGTTTTAGAGACATTGCCGCTGAGGATTATACAGGGAAAGTACTAACGGGCTTGGCCCATCCGGGCACTCATGCCTGTAATACAATCTCTCTCTTCAAAGAGTGAGAAGACGATTGACCAAGATAGAGGAACCCAAGGGTCTGATCCCCCTGAGAAGCGTGGAAGGCAGCCAGGAAGTTTAACGCGTGCACCACGCTCAACTGAGGTTCTTGGCATTCCACCTCTAGATAGCACTTCGTAGCATTGGCAAAACAACAACGGGACTTGAAGTCCCGGATGTTTGGGTCATCGAGAAACACTGTCCCCAGCGCTACGAGAGCCTTATGCAGCATGGGCGAGTAATGGCGTCTTGGGCAGGGTGTGGGAGCGGGGAACAACGATTGCTCGGTACATGTCTTGAAGGAAGAGCGCCGGGACGATGCAGAGACACCAGGAGGTGAAGAGTTTGAAGAGGATGTCGAGAGCTCTGGTAGTGTAATTTACATCAGCATTGCAGCATCTCAAAGAAAAAGAGACATGGCACGAAATTGTCATGGGACCTCCTTCTCCAGTGGCAGCCACAAATTCCTGACCACTTTCAGCGCCCCTCCACCGCTCCACCACCACTTACACCTGTGTTTCTATCTTCATCCACAGGAACGGAAGCAGATCACCGCATAGGCCATTCAACGCCCAAACGACACCTCAGACACCAACATACCCCGTATTCCGGCATAAATCCACCATACTACACTCCCCCATGTCCCTTGGCCCCATCTCTTCACAGACACAAGCAAACATCGGCCCAAGCGTCGAGATCCGCAGGGGGAGGGTGCAGCGGGCCAGATACCGCGCACACCTGGCCTCAGTGCGTTTGGTGAACAGAGGAAACCGCAGAGCGCTGGGGCGGGCGGGGAGAATATCATTGTTTCTTTCGGTTTGCTTCCATTGGAAGTCGGAGGTGATGGGAATGGGAAGAGGAGGAGCGTTGTTTATTCTGTGTTGGGGCCGTGGAAGATATACCCTTTACGTTGGATATTTTCGTGTTTAACTAGAAT